TTAGCAAAGGCTGTTTCCAGGTCGACCGTCATTAATACTTGACAAAAATCAATCATGGGATAGTCAGGAAATCTTTTTGAGTGCATTAAAATAATAATTACGATGGAGACAAAAACCCCACGATTTATTTACCTTTCAGGTTATTTTTGTATACCATCCTGTCGTGCCCTTCTTTTTGTAGACCGCCAAATGCACCTATAATTTAACATGGATATATTCTTGCAGTTTGGTAGATCTGTCATAAATCATAAATCCATTTTTTAACCCATATATATGGATCATAAATGAATTAGTTATATTCAGTAAATAGGTCATAAATGAATATAAATATAATATGGGTGTTAAATTGATCGTAAATGGGTATACAACTTATTCAAACTCAACTCATTTCTCTTGTCATCACTCAATCTCGCGCTCACTCACTCCATACTCTCATCTCAGTTTGGGTATGAGTTTTCTTAGATTAAATTAAATATGGAAGTGATTTAACAATATGGATCGGATCGGGCATGAATTGAGTATGAGTTGGGTCAGATATAAGTTGGGTCATTATATTTGCATTACATAGAAATGAGTCAAAACAGATTAAATGGGTTTATTTGGGTCGGATCATTTTCGACCCAACCCAAACATAACCTAACCCAACCCGTTTGACAAGTCTATAGTTTGGAGAACCCAAGATTATTTATCTTTATCTTGATGTAATTAATAACGTGGAGTCCCACATAGCCTCACTCGTTGCTTAATAAAAGGATTTTTAGGCTACGTTTATTTCACGAAAAATAAATAATTTGATAAATATTTCTCTAAAAATGATCATTTGAAGTATATTTTTGTTCAACATATATATAAATTATTTATGACTAGTAGTCCTACAATATTTTTTTACGTGAAAATCAGCACTTTCGATTGTACTTATTCTACGGATGTTAAAAAATTTAAATGTTCACCCACATTGAATTAGACACCCTTTAACCTTATAAGTTATTTACATAAGGCTATAAATTTCGTACTAATTGACTTTTCGTGCTTCATTTTTTTAATCATCTGATTTTGCCCATTATTCTTCGTTAGAGCTAACAATCCATTTGTGTTCGATCGAATTTACACATGGGAGAGCATAGGAATGGCAAAGATTTACCTCATGAATCGATTTTTCGGCCGTGCAACTACCGTATGATCATAAGCAGGTCTCGTTTTTTGGATCATAGAAATCATTTAGTTGACAAGAATAGAGTAACGCATCGGTATTATTCACCTAAACTGAAGTAGTTGGATAACTATTTCATCAAATAAAAAATATTGATACCATCATGCAATATAATGCTTGTTTGGACTATTGATTATTGTTGGGATATGGTTCATACTCCTAACCGACAGGAAGGCACGGAGGCGACGCCAAAGGGCTTTTATAGTTTAAGCCTGTATTTTATTGATAGTTTGGGTTTGGGCCCATTAATAGATACTAAGTATATATAAAATCTCTTTCTCTTGTAATTGAGGTTTGTAACAGAAAAGTGAGATCTCCTAATTATCATGGAATCATCTTTTGGATGTATAAGGGCTAACTAGTATAAAACCTTGTGCCTCAATTTCTCTTCCTCGCTTTTACTCTTTATTTCGTTGTGTTTGTGTGACTAACCTAACAGTTATGTGAGTCCCGCTACAGGATCTACTTGAGAAAAATAGTCCCGATGATTTTAGTTCATGTGACGTTTAACGTGAACTATTTAGTATTATGAAGCAACTTGAAGCTGCATAATAAGGGTTGACCACACAATTTCTCGAAGTTAAATATATGCAGTTGATGCATCACATGACGCAAAATGATAAGTGTTGACCACTCAATATTTCTATTTTATGCTACAAAGTTCATCATCCAACCATGCATAAAGAAAGACAAGATTGGAAGAGCAATAATACTTCGCTTTTGTAGACGCAAGAGCTTGCCATTGCTAACGCAATAATTGCCGTATAATACGCCCCAACCCACTCAAATTCTCTTTAATGCTGGAAGTGATTTTTTTTTCTTATTTCATTTTTTGTCTGTTTGTGATCAAATAGTTTCGTCATTGAATTAAAAATGTTCAAATATCCAACGTCACTAAATTATGGGATTTATATACTCTTTATATATCTATTTTGGGTTGAACATTCTAAGAAATGATTTATAAAAAGAAATAAAAATTTAGATCTCCATCCATAAGATAATTGATTAATTTATTCCCACCAATCTCACATAGAATACAAATTCAATGAATAAAATGGAAGGAAAATCATCACTTTCTTTATTTTTTCTTGGCCAACGTAATGCTTTCTCAATGAAATATTCACATATAAGCAAAAAAAGTAAAAATGTTGACATTTAAAATTTTGGCGTTAGTTAATGATATATATCTAATTGATGTAGATACATGACTTCCATGTGTTGAATTCCTAAATGCTGTAAGACAAGAAAAAAAAAACTATAAATGCTCGATCTTGTAGTTTTTTTTCTTGGACAACCTCATATGGAGGACATTTCAAATGTTGACTCGCCCTCTAAAATTTAGAGCATCATGATTGTGAAATTTTGTGGTACCACTGCCAACGACTCTAAAAGCTTAAGTTGCTAGCCGAAGGGAAAAATGTCCAAAAAATCTTAAACATATTGCACTTTTGCCAATTCAATCATAAACCTTTCAATTTTGCCAATTGAGTCCTAAACATTTTCATGTTTTGCCAATCAAGTCTATCCCGCCAATCTTAATTGGAAATTACTGATGTGGACGTCGGTAGTGCTACGTAGGACGGCCGGTGCTAATGTGGATAATTTTTTTATTATTTTTTAAAAAAAATTATGAATTTTTTTTCTTTTATGTTTTCTTTTTCTTTCTTTCTTTTCTATTTTATTCTACCAAATCCGGCGAGGGTCATGGCCCTCAGCTAGTGGCAACGACAGTTATACACTGTTTTTAAGTAATTATTTGCCCCACAATAATGCTAATGATTTTTGGCAAAAATCTTTTGGGATACAACAAAGTCTCAAAGGGGAATACCATATAACAATTTGGGTATTTCTCCAAGAACTCTCAAAGGGAAACAATTAAAAACAATGGTTGTATTTTTTTAGAAAGGAAAATTGATAAGTTAAAATTATTGAGACAAAAACGATGAATTTGTAACAATGTTTTAGAACAAATAACCTTTCCTCTAAAAACGTTGCATTTTGAAAAGATACAACCTTTCAAAGCCTGTAAGACGCCTAATAACCATTAGCCAAAAAAAAAAAAACAACCGCCGGTATTAAAAAATAAAAATAAAAACATTGATTAGTGCCAAAGTCGCGCACCCGTGCCCGGGTGTTGTAAGGTCTAGCCCACATAACCCATTGGCTTAAAAGACTTTCACACTTGCATATTGACTCTCACACTCCCATCCTTTCTATGTGCGACAAGGGCAAGGCACATCTCTTTGTTTGTCTACACATCCAAATTTTCTACAGGATGTGAAGTATGTTTAGCAGGTCGCCAAGTCTTGGGGACCAAGATTACAAATGACTGCTGGAGGAAGCCATGCAAGGTTTGGGAAGCTTGTAAGTTGCTCGCTCTGATAATGGTTGGATAGCAACATCGATTTGGTACAAAAGCATTGAATGTACTGTTACTCTTTTCAATAAAGGTCAACTGCTCGTAGGGGTAAAGGGCAGTTTCAAATTGGATATCCAAGGCCTCGAGACAGGTCGGCGACGGTTGTCCACATTTAGAATACATGGTGATCATGAATTGCAAAGAAACGCATCTCCAACACGTAACCATTTTTTATTACTGTTTCGCTGGAAATGTTCCCGCAACAAAATATAATTCACCGAAAATCATTCTTCGATTTTTAATCAAAGGAGACCAGGTTTTGTGCCTAATTCCGGACAGGAGATATCCAGGCGTGAACAAAGAGCTTGATTGTCTTGATCAATAACACAACTTTTGTACAGTAACGAAATTCGACTTATATTTATAAACAATTCAGAAAAATCCGTCCAATTACTGACTGGCGGCGTCCGAACTCCATCGATGCAACATTACAAAGCCACTAGGCTTAGAACTTAAACAACTACAGCTATGGAAACTAAAGATGCAATACTAGAAAATAAATATAAATGAAAGACAACATTTTGATGTATATTCGCCCGAGGGGGGGTGCTTTTTTCTAGCTGTCGAGTACTATTTATAATGTGAGCCTGATAATCGCCTTCTAAGACCATGTCCAATAACCACCGTTGATCTCATTTTCGCCGTTCATCTAATGACATATGTCTATCAATTGCCACCGATCTTATCTTTTCGTCCTGACACCTGTCCTTCTCAAGGCAATAATCGTTGTCGAGCTCTTTCCGTTTTGATATCTGTCCTTTCCAAAGCAATAACCGTCGTCGAGCTCTTTCCGTCTTGACACCTGTCCTCCCCAAAGTAATAACCGTCATTGAGTTCTTTACATCTTGACACTTGTTCTCCCCGAGGTAATAACCATTATCGAACTCTTTACATCTTGACACATGTCCTCCCCGAAGTAATAACCGTTGTCGAGCTCTTTTCGTCTTAACACTTGTCCTCCCCGAGGTAGTAACCGTCGTTGAGCTCGTCGAGCTCTTTACATCTTAACACCTATCCTCCCCGAGGTAATAACCGTCGTCGAGCTCTTTACGTCTTGACACCTTTTCTTCTTCCTTTTCTCATCGACAGCTTTGGTGACTTGGGTTCCATATGGTAATTTTCGTCGACAACTTTTGGTACGGGAACTCAAGTGACGCTTGCTTCCTCTACTATTCCGGCTTTCCAATTTCAAATTCTTAAATTTCTCGCCGGGATATTCCAATGCTTGCCAGCTGTTTGCTTACATAGCAATCCTCTATGGACTACGTCATCCCTTCACGTCCTCTACAAGTTTATTTTCATTTATTTTTGTTGTCGACAACCTAATTAATTATAGGTGTCAACAATTACAACATTGTGTCGGCCTTTACACAATGATGATCAACTCGAAACCCTGAGAAGACAACCATAACAAAAACAATTAATGCTTCCAACTAAGTAATTACAGAGAATCATCCTCCGTCATTCTCTTGAGATCTTTGACGAAGCCGGCCATATTTGCCACCGCTCTCGAGCTCGCCTTTGCCGTCATCATCCTCTCCTTCAACTCCGCCAACCTCACCCCCATCTTGCCGTCCTCCACGACCAGCCTCACTCCGTCCTCGACCTCCCTTTCCCCGAATCCCCCCAGCCTCACCCTGACCCGCCACACCTCGACAATGTACTTGCAGTTTACAAACCGGTCCCCCGCCACGGGCCAGCACAGCATCCGCCGCCCGAACTGCACTGCCTCCACCGTCGAGTTCCACCCGCAGTGCGTCACGAAGCACCCGACCACGCCGTCCCGTAGGACCTCCACCTGCGAGGCCCACGGCACAACCCTGCCCCAGCTGCGGACCCTCTCCAGGAAGCCATTGGGCAAGCCGTCATGCCATGACGGTCCAAGCACCCACAGGAAGTGCCGCCGCGTAGACTCGAGCGAGAGGGCAAGGCTGGCGACTTTGTCGCGTCCGATGGGACTGACCCAACTGCCGAAGGAGACGTAGATCACCGAGTTGCGTTCTTGATTCTTCAACCAGGTCAGGCAGGTGGCGTCTTCTTCCCAGAAGCTAGGGTTCTTTGTCAACGGGGAAGGGCTGGTCAAAGGCCCGATGGGGATGATCGTCGGGCAGTCTCTGGAGCACTGGATCGGAGTTTCGTCTTCCTCCTCGGGAAAGGAGTTGACCAGGAGCCACCGGAGAGATGCCGACCGGTGGAGAGTCCGAGTCCAGAACTTGAATCTTGCATTCTGGGCGTTGACCGGCCCGATCAGCCACGGCAGGTCTTGGGTGGTCAACGAGGGGTTTTGATGTATCTCGCTTTCTTTCTGGGGTATTCCTGCAAATTATTTTGCACATTTGCACGTCAGAATTAACGCCAGAAATACAAGGTGCTCACTCATTCAACGTGGTCACATCTCCCAAAAATCAATATGAGTCGGATCACATGTGACTTTGATAATTCTTAAGTTATATCACGTATTAAAAAATAAGAAAAACAACAACAGTAATCGAAATCGTGGCGACATTCCTCTGTTGCAATTGTTGTTTTAATGGTCGACCTGGAAACAAATCTTGCTCATTTGAGATGGAAGGCATGTGCGCCTTTTACTCATATGGCAAAGTCAGCTGTACTAACTAAACATTTACTCCAACGCCACATGTTTTGCAAATACATATGAATGATCCTCTAAACTCGGTCGATTTAATCTTATGAATTTCATGAGGCAATTATAGGAACTTATGTTGGGAATTTATGTTTGTTAGCGAGTCTCTTGCGAGTCTCTCGAGGGACTTAGTTATATTGATCGAATTCTATTGAGTTTTTGTGATACGAGGCTCAATAGAACCACAAGAATATAACTTGAATGAGATTTTCATGAGTGACATGTCAAGACCATTTGCAAAATAGAAAATTAGGAAGAAGTGAGGACTTGGAAGAAAGTAAAGTGCATAAATCGAAGTGATGAGCGATATAGACTCACCACTATCAGAAATGTAACCAGCTTGGACTAATTCTAGGATGGCCGCGACTAGCTTGTAGGTCGTGAGCATGGCCGGCCAGAACCCCACGGTTGGGACCCCGCACCGGTTCCCCACCCCAATCGCGAACGAGGCCAGCAAGTCGACCACCATCAACGCCACATCAAGCTCTCTCACATGCCGCTCTAGGTGGACCGCCATGCCGTCCTCCATGGCCTTCTCGACCAAGAAGAAGTCGCGAGGCGCACCATCGCCAGCCCCTGAGTTGTCCGGGATCGGGACATACGTGATCACCTCCACCATCGTCTGATCGTCCATGGGAGAGATGCTCCGGTGGATGAATTCCGGGGTGACAAGCACTGGATCGAAGCTCTGGGAGTGGAGGATCAAGGCTAGTTTGAGCATGGGAGTGACATGGCCTTGCGCAGGATAGGGGACTAATATTGCCTTTGGCCTCCTTGTGCAGGGCTTCATCTCTCTCTTGATCTCTCGATCTCTCGATTTTACGGGGTTTGTATGTATGTATGTCTTGAAACACAGTTGTTTGATATAGTTCAATTAAAGGTGCATCTGCTGAGAGTGAGAGAGAGAAAGAGAGAGGAGTCGGCAAAGCCTGTGGAAACAAGTGTAGCTAAAATTGAATGACACACAATTTAGCCCATGTTGTAATTATGTTATATTTACCATCCATAAGGCCACGAGCTACATGCATGTATAGTGTATATAATAATCATTAAAGAGGAAACCGCTTAATATTTTGAACTCTAAAGAACATACATCATGTATTAGGTACAGATTGTATAACTATAATATATCTGCATGACTGTGTATAGGGACAAAAACATTTCTACCCCACCCAGTGCTCTCATCCTCCTCGTCTCGACGTTCAATTGATTGAGATTTACTGAAAACACCGAGTGGGAGTAGCGTGTGGGTTAGAAGATCCTAGTCCCTCGTAATCCTCGTAGGCGTACAGATCGAATTGGTGCCAAAGCGACATGGTATGTTAAAGGTGCGATCGTAATGTTGGTACAGAATTGCATTCAAAAACTATAGACATGAGTGACTCCGATTCAAGTTATTAGGTGAAGTGTTTCTTGATTCTTGAATTCATACACAAGAACCCGTATGAAATGAACGAGAAAGATCGAACAAGATTATTATAATTCAACCAAGAAATTATACACTTCGAGAGGGATTCTAAAAGATGCAACATTATCGCTCCCTCTAGATACCCATATAAGTTAGCATTTCACGATTTATTCTTAAGTAATTCAAGTACACTTGAGCCTACTGCATTTGAATCCATTGATGCCGGTGCGTCTCACGGAACCCACATGATTTAAGAATTAGGATGCACTGAATTCACACGTGCACCAAAAACCGTCTTGCGTCTTACGACGTGTGTATATGTTCGCTCTTCTAGAAAGTAAGAGTCTAATATCGCGGCACTCAACTGCCCTTTTAGCGACCTGCCCTTTGGAAGTCGCCTAGAATTAATGTTAGGTTGATGGGACCTAGTGGGATCCCCATTCTATTGATGCGAGGAATGATTTTCCACGCGTGACGATATTCTGTGCAGGGATACACATTAAAAAAATGGGTTTTCAATTAATTAGATCTTAGGATAGTCCATTCTCTTGCCAGGCTTGGTGAAGGATAGCCGCATCGATATTTTTAGGGTTACATATGAACATGGGTTTTAAATCATTAGACATATTAAAACAGTATTTCCCATCACTTTAGTGATTAACCTTTATAAAGTTTTGTACTACTCTACTTAAATAACGGTACCAAGATGGACTGTAGTACTTCTTGTATCGTGATATTGATCATGATGCTTTAAATTTTAGAGGGCGAATTCACGTTTTAAATGTCCTCTATACGAGGTTGGCCAAGGAAAAAGTTATGAGATGGAGCATTTAGGATTTTCGTTTTTAATTTTATGTCATAGAGCATTGAGGAATTCAATACATGGATCTTATGTACCCACTCCCACATGGTCTCCTACTTTAAAGCGGTGCACATTCGCGCCCACCTCTTTCTCTACTCCAACAATGTCACGCCTAACAGTTCATAAAACCAGAGCCAAAAACATAAATTAAAGGATTTTTACTAGAACAAAAAAATACCACGTAAACAAGTTTTTAATTTGATAAATTGCCTGGCTAAAGAATGGTAAATTGCAAATTCAAAGATAGATGTGGCAGTGACGGGACTCTAGCAGGTGATACTTGGAGCTGTTAAGCTAAAGGGCAGTTCTTGTAGTTCTTGAAGCTTTTTGCAATATCAAACGCTCAAGTCCCGAAGAAAAGAGAGCTTAGAAATGCTTTCTGGCAAGCCCGAAATGCCTAACTTGTCTAAATCAAGCTTGTTTAGTGGAAGCAATTTGCCCAAATTACTAGGTAGTCGTTCTAGATTTTCGCATCCTGGAGCTCTCAACTCTTGGAGTTTTGCCGACATTCCGATGGCACCAAGCAATTCTGTTATATGAGTTCCACAAATGTCCAAGATCCTCAAATTCTACGGATTTCCAATGATTTCAGGTAATTCCGCAATTGCTATGCATTTTAAATCGAGCTAGTCAATGATGCCAATTTTTTGATTGAGTCGAGAATTAATCTCAACAAGTGACACGCCCATAACAACAAGTGCCGCAAAGATACGAGGGAGCCTATAGAGTCTGGGAGTTGAGCAAGTTTACCGCATTTTGATAGGTCAAGAAGAGACAGAGATACTATATGGCCTGTGTATTGGAGAAAATATCTCTCAATAGAAAAGCAATTCCAAAAATCGCTCTCAATCATATCAAGACCAGTCAACCAATTCTTATACTCTTAGCAAGTGCAGCAAGAATTTCCAAAGTTGACAAACTCATTTTATATTTCTTTACATAAAGGATTTTATCTTTTCATGTATGTAGGTTGTAGCTCAGGAAAGTTATATACATGTTTCATAGCTCGGTTGCCATGCACTACTTCATGTTTGGTTTTATGTAAACGTTTCTTAAGTAGTAGAATTTACGACGCTCTCAATCCCCAGAATTCACTGGGTTCTTTCAAGCTAATTTCACAGGGCGTGAATTTGATATGCCGAAAGCCTGCAGTTTGTCGAGTTCATAGTTTCATTGTCATTTTAAATTCTCGATTAACTGTTTATGTGTCGAGAATGATCCTACCAAAATCCACACCATTTATCCTGTCATGCCACATACGATCTACTCTTCTGCTCTTTGGTCATTCCAGTGATTCTGTTCTAGTGATGCTCTGTTTCGACTTCCATTACAACATCTATCTTTCCAGTTCTACCATTCTTTGCCTCTGGCTTTAGGAAGGGTAGACCTGAAATTGTTGAATCGTAATGACAAAATGGAAGATTATGATTTGATAAGCTTACATAATCATTCTAATAAAAATAACAAGTGGAGGTAAGTAAATCCTAATAATAATAATAATAATAACCACCTTGATACAAAGACGACAAGGACAACAATAACAACCACCCATCTCATACTTCGACACAAAATTGTTGGAACACTCCATATGATGCCTCTTATCATAGTAATTAACCCAAAATTTCAAGATATGACGTTTGTTGTGTCCTTTCCCCATACTATTAAATGGAAAAGGAAACTTAAAACCATTTCGCCAAAAAGGAAAATTAAGTCACTTTACCATTATATTGATACACTTTAACTTCATGAAATGCCAGAGGAATTAAAAAATTAATAGCCTTGCAAGAGGGTGAAACCGCATGTAAGCTGAAAGTCGACGAGTCCAGAATGTGGACAATATAAAACAGCCATCCTTCTGCTATTATATACAGATGCCGCCAACATAAATTGAACGCAGTAAATAACAAAAACCTTCAGTTTGGGGCGGTTTATCCATTCACAGCTTGTGACATGAAGGTGTCTCTCGCTTTTCACCCTTGTTCTGTTTCTTCATCCGGCTCGCCTACGGGAGGCTCATCAGCATTTTCTCCCCTAGCATCTTCACCAACACTAAAGTCTTGTTCATCGATGTATGCCTGGGAGCTCACAATCTGACCTGCCAAGTCTTTATGTTTCAAATTACCTGTCAAGAAGAGGGGAAGATGTGAACAGAAGTGAGAGGTCAAGCATAGTTAGTTTTTGCCATTTAGAGAAAACCATATCGCTGACTGAAAGATCAGTAGTGATTCTTCAGAAGCAAAAACTAAAAGGCCATTGCAAATGTACAAAACTCCCCAGTCATAAGTAACTATTGAAAAGCCCTGAAAACAAAATAATGTGCATAGTGATTTCCACACTTCAGGAGGCCACCGTGCTGACTAAACTGGAAAACCAGAGCGTGAACATTGAAGAATAAGAAAATTTTATAACCAAGTGAAACTAGGATAATTTTGCTTACCCATCCAAAAAGCGCATCCGCTTGATGAATTGTGGAGAAGAGCCTTGACACGGAATAAAAGTCGCTCTAGAGACCTTTTCGTAGCAGGAATTTTGCTGGTGACGGACATTTGTTTCAAACCCTTACAAGGACACAGAAATATTAGCATTTAAGTGTAAATGATTTTGCCTCTGACCAAATTGAAGAAGCAATGCCAACCTTTGCTTCAGAGCACAGTGTCTGCAATGTTCTTGTGGCCTTCTGGAGCTCTTTAACCTTGATCATTAATAAAAAGCATAGTGACTTCAGCTAAAACTTTTTTCCAGTTTGTAACTTGGAAGTAGCAGAGTACATTTAAAGCATGTAATCTCACCAGCTGTATCACAAGTTCTTGGTGCTCTTGAAACTGCACCTCCAAAAACTCGAAAACTGTGAAAACAGTTCAGAGCTTAATAGAAAAGGCACTTATAACAACAATGGAAGCAATTGAAAACCATAATTTACCTTTAAGGAAAGAATCGACAAACTTCCCACCATATTTGACAGCCATAGCATGCGTAGTCACCTACCCAATTATCTCTTGTAATCAATTCAATGCAACAGTTAAAAGCAAGATCTTTCCCCCAAATAAGGGGAAACACGAATTATTCTCTGCAGCCTGCTTACCTTGTCACATGTCCTGCACATAGTAACTAGGGATACAACAACATTCACAGGCTCCAGCAGTTTAATAAGAAGTCCTCTTACGACATCATGTTTGGCATCATTTCCCAGCTTACCTGCATCCGGTTTACTCCTAAGACCAACTTCTTTAACCTGAATCACATTAAAGGACAAAAATAAATGCATATTAAATAAAATGGGCATAAATTATAAACTAGTGTTCAAATGTTTGACTTGGAACTCACCAAATCATTGAATCGAGTAAGGTTAACTTCATGCTGCATGAGAAGCACCTTCTGTAAGAATACTTCCAAAAAATGTATTGTGAATTACCAGATGCATAACAGGAATCAGATTTCTTACCAAAACCCGGTACCATACATGAAACGTCGCAGAGCACAAGGATGCGAAGCCATGATGCACATTGCTTTCAGCTGTTTT